GATGTGTCATAAAAACACAAGAGATGTGGACATACCCACAGTGGTATATAAGCAGAACAGCTCAACCTTGGCATGAAAAAGGCCATTTCTTGAACTCACAGAACAGTCTCTTTAAAATGGTATTTGTAAAAGGGATGAAAACTTTTATGGATAAGAAAGCGGGAGACCTTGGTGGAAACCATTGTTTCTGCAAGATATTTTCTGGTTTTCACATCCAGTGTTCTTTCTAAACAGTCATCAGTGCAGAGACTTTAGTGAGACACAGCACATTATTCAGAACTGAAGGTGCACTTGCTATATACATTTGCTATATATGTTTGCATGTATTGTGCACATATGTAGTCTTCAGTTTCAATACGCTAGAGGTTTCTAACTAGCCCCTGTGGCAGGCCAGGGGTTGCATATGTGCTACAGCTGCCAATATTCATCTCTAGTTGGAGGTCCAGCAGAGATCTCCTCCATGAGGTTGACTATGACTGAGGGAATCATGGTCAATAAATGTTCCTTTTGGCTTGGGATACTGCTATAACATGGATTCCTGGCAAATAAATAGGACCTCATTTAAAGTCACTTATAATTAGGTAGTTAAGGAAATAATGAAGTAATTCTCATCTTTGGTCAGTATTTACCATCAGCATTTGTCTAGTCTTTGCTCTCTGAATGTCTTAGGTATACAAAACAACTCTCACAAACACATTTGGAAGCCTAGACCACATAAAATGTGTTAAAAATGTAAGGTTCACGTTGAGGACTGAGAGTTCTGATTTAAATGTTCTATGACCTATTACTCATTTGCAAGAAATACTCTAGGCTTTGATTAAATTTTTTCCCTTTGACATTTTGACTACCTGGTATATTAGATTATCTAAATGAACGCATCATTTTCTATTTCTTCTCTTCCTTCCACTAATGCCTATACTGGTAGATATAAAAATGAAATAAAGCAAGCAAGCAAAAGGAAAAAAAAATCAGAATATTTAATGATAAAGTCAGATTCAACAAAAGCAGAGGTGGAAAGAAGAAAACTAGTTGCTCCACTGTTAACACACATGTTTTCCATACACGACTGGTTTTCAGTTTTCATAATTGCAATTTCAGGCAGCACCCTCCATTCCAGGACAGTTATCCCATCTGTGGGTTACCCATTTCCTGCGCATTTCCTTCCCCCACCCACCTCTTGGCCACTCTAACATTGCTCCATGTCAAAATCAATACTGCAGGTGGTTGGAGCAAGTTTTCAAAAGAAAATGAAATGGAAACCTGTCAAAGCTACTTTGTGTTAAATTAAAATATTTGGTGAGGAGAGACCTACACTCTTGGCCACAAGGAGACCAATGAGACTTTTTTTAAAAAGTAGGTATTTTGGAAATCTGCAGTATTTTTTTTTCATTATTATTTTTGTTAACCAAGCATTAGCTGGCTGGTATCTCTGAAGAGGTCAGAGCAGTAAGCATATTACCAGTTTTGAACTTGGAAATAAAGTTGAAAGTATGCTTTCATTTCTGGTGTGTGGTCAACCTAATGCTTCTGAAATCCTAGGTGAGACTTAATTTAAGTCAGTCAAAGCGACAAAACTCATACCTGAGATTCAACAGTAGACAGGAGTCAGTAGCCGTTAAGCAGAATTCAGTGAGTAGGAGTTGGATTGGGTAGAACAAATTGTGGTGTGTGTGTGTTTTCCTATGTTGAGGGAAGGGGAAAAGACAAGTCAGATGAAGAAGGCTTTTGGGGAGGATCTAAGTCCAGAGCTGAGCCTGGAAAACTGGAGGGTGGTGGTAAAATAAGATTAGATGGGCACAGTAGAGTAGTAGAATGTGTATGTTATATAGGGCACCAAGTGATCCAAATAAGCAAAATAATATAAACAAGAAAAATATTGCAACTCCCAACCTGCTAGATATCTAAAACATGAGCTCATGTTCTCTAAAATCAAAGAATAAATTCTAGGAACAGTGGAAATTAAGAGTAGGAAGACTTTATTGAGAGACAGCTTCCATCTAAGAGACACGGAAAAGTGGGTTGCCTGCTTACCCCTCTTCTCAAAGGTGTTTTATGGGGCAAAGCCAGGAGGTGAGGGTGGTACAAAATGGAACAAAACTATAAGATCCAATGAAAAATCACAAGGTGGGCATGAGGTGGGACCAAACCATGACCAACCAATAATATTGCAAGCATAATCTCCCAGGTAATATTGATTAAATGGAGATCAAATGGAAAAGCAAGTCACATAGCAAGCATAAATGAATTTTTCCTAAGAAATGGGCTAGCTAGGGATGTTCTGTCCCAAATTAAGGTGAGTCATGTCCATTTAGAATATCAGTCATTGCTATTCATCCTCAGGGGAAGCAGGTGGGTGCAGTAGTTTTCTCTCTTTTTATAATGTTAACTAGTGAATGTGCCTCAATTGTTTTCTGTGCTGAGGACCCAACCTTGTCCACCTGCTGTATAATAATTTCTAACTAACTCAGCTATCTGCGATACATGGACATGCCCTCCAGTGTCAGGAACAAGTCAGGAAGAGGGTGCACATGTTTCATAACATATATGTAAGCCCTTATTTTCTATGAAATTAACATCTCTCCTGAATGAGTGGTATGGTCTTCGAAGGGATCCTTGAAACTATTCGTATTCATTTGTAACATTCAAGAAAAAGCAGTCTCAGGGAATTAATTCATGAACAAATGCATGTCAGGAGGCACTGGAGAGCTCCATCAGTGGTTAGCATTTGATTTCAAGGTATGGGGATTGGAAAGACAGGAGCTGCTTTTGAGGGTCTACTTGGAATCAAAGAAGAATAATGGGTTCTCTTTCTAGTTTGCTGCCTCCTGGGCCATTCTTTCAGCAGTACCATCTTTCTCAGTAAGCTCTTATCCACATGCCAGTCCTCATATTTGCTGTACCCACTGCATGACATTTATTCCTGACTCTTGGGTATCCCTGCTCTTTTTCATCAGTCATGTCCCAGTTCACATTTCAGGGATTTTTCAGAGATTGGGGTCTTTTTCTGACCATCCCACCTAACCCAGTGTCTTCGACTCTCTCCCCATTCACCATTATATCACCATTTTAACACCTTTAAAACCCCATGAGCACTCCAAATGGATGTGTTTGTTTCTTTATCTTCTATGGCTCTCCTTTAGGACCAGAACCTCAGTGCCTTGTTCATAGCCATGCCCATCATGCAGTAGGTGATCAATAAAGTGTGTGTTAAAGGAATCCGTGACAGTGGGGTCTCCATTATGCTTAAAGAAGAGAAAGCTCGGCCGGCCTTCGTTCCATTCCCTAAATGCTGAACTGTTTGTTTGGAAGCTGAAGGGAAGGAGTGAATGGTGAAAGGCCTGAAGCAGCTGGCGTTGCTATGGCATTACGGAGCAGTACTTTTCTTTTCCTACGTTTCTCTCCTCAGTTCTAAGAACCTGGAAAACAGCAGCACTCAGAGGGACCTTTCAAAGAGATGGACTGTAAAGAAACAATTGTGTGGGTTGGACAAATGAAAGTAAATTACATCAGGAAAAGCTGCTGGTTTAATTCCTTCTTCAGTGTGTTTGTATGTTGTAGCCATGTTGGAATGAGATTTCTAAACATAATGAGCCAAGGGTCCATGTTTTACAGCCACATCTTGAAGCCCTACCCACCTTTTCAGTGCTTCTCAAAGTAGCACTGAATGAGTCTACTTACCCCTATAAAGGACGGTACAGTAGACATTGTTAATTTAGTGAATAGGTCCTGAGACCCCATTATTTTTTCTCATTCTTAGATTTTTCACAAAAGCACATCTGTAGCTAACTGTACCAAAGTTACCTCAGTTAGTTCTAGTTGTGACTCCAGGGTGCTTGGTAAGATGCTATAAAATGCCTGCTCTTTAGTTACCTGGTTTGGATTTATAAATGAAGCTCTCCAATTGATATAGAGTTTATGATATATGGACCTCTAAATAATATAAGGGAAATATAACTCTCAGCCTGCTAGATGTCCAAAATGCTGAGTTTGTGTTCTCTAAAATCGAAGAATGAATTCTAGGAAAAACAAAGCTAAAGAATAGGAAGAGTTTAGTGAGAGAAAGATTGCTTCTGTCTGAGTCAGAAGGGGATCTGGAAGGTGGGTAGCCCACCCGCCCCACTTCTCAGGGGGTTCAAAGTGGGACAAAACTGTAGTCAACTAATAAGACTAAAAGTATAGTCGCTTAGGGCTGGGGATTTAGCACAGTGGCACCGCGCCTGCCTGGCAAGCACAAGGTATTGAGTTTCGATCCCTGGTGGTGGGGGAGTATAATCACTCAGATTCTATTGATCCAATGGGAAATCACTGGGTGGGTATGAGGTGGGACAAAAGTAGGGTCAGCCAATAAGATTACAACAAGTATAGTCCCTTAGGTAATATTGATTAAATGGGGATCAAATGGGGAAGCAAATCAGGTAGCAAGCATACAGGGAAAGAACAAGGATTTTACCCGAAGGGATGGGTCAGGACCTGGAAGGGATCTTGGAAGGGATGGGTTAAGATCTAGGTCCCCCAAACAGGTGCCTGATAGCTATTTAGAATATCAATCACTGCTAATCATCCCAAGGGGAAGTGTGAGGGTATCCTTTTCCTGCAGCCTGGACCTCAGTGAATGAGCCTCTGGCCACAACTGTCTTCTGTGCTGATTCCCTGAAGGGGCCGGCCCTGCCTGAATGCCTGTAATATTTCTAATTAACTTAGGTATCTATCATACAATGAGTATTTAAGTCTCATGAATACATGCTAACAACAAAATGTGTATTGTTAGTCTGCTGTCGACGTATAATTTATTTTTATGTTTTTTTCAAAGGATTTATGTTATCAGTGCAAGTCACAGCTAGTTATAGATTTCTAAGGACTTGTTTTCCCCCATCTCCTCCTATCTTCACTATGTGCATACTGGAGATTCAGGCTTCTCCTCTAGCAACAGCCTGCCAAACTGCTGTTGATCTCTCATCTCCTCACTATTCCTAATCTGCAATATCCCTTTCCTTTTTTAGCACTGCAGTGACAACACTCATCCTTGCCAATCAGACATGAATATTGAAGGAGCCTGGAAGAGAGGCTACACAGGAAAGAACATCGTGGTGACCATCCTGGATGATGGCATTGAGAGAACCCACCCTGATCTGATGCAAAACTATGTGAGTTCTTGTTGTGCTCAGAAACCTTCCCCATATCAGGACTCAGGATTATCACAACAGGAGAGCTACTGAAAAAAGCAGAACAGACATAATACACTAGGTTTTGCTCCTTCCTTGTAAAAGATGAGCTCTTTGAGTACAGGAAGCATGAGATAACACTTTCTTACTTTTGGGTTCCACTTTTGATATTCTGACTTACAAAAAGAAAGCAATAAGGTAGCAGAAATTCCACCATGAACACCATTTGCTAAGCCAAGGATCCAGGCAACACTCTTTGTTTATTTTATGGAAAAGAGTAGACTTAGAGCTTTTCTCAAGTTTCTCTCTCTCTGTCTCCAGTAATGATCAGCCTCCCACTACTAGTCCCTAGGAATCAGTCATTTCTCCTTAAGAAAGAACCACAAACTAAGGGCTGGGAATTTAGCTCAGTGGCACTGCGGCTGCCTGGGAAAGGCAAGGTCCTGAATTTGATCCCTGGTACAGGAAGAAAAAAAGAAAAAAACAAAAACAAAAACACAAACTGACTTGGGCTGAGTGATTCTCCTCACCCTGCAACCAAGCACATACAGATAAACTTGTAACTCTTCACAGAATAGAATATGAAAAATTGAAAGAAACTTGTTTTTAGCCACCTTTTATTTGATGAAGACACTGAATCCTGAACTCTAAGAGAATTTTGCGGGGTCAAGTAAAAGATCAGAACTATGCCTGCCTCTTACCCAGCAAAGATGTCTTTCTGGTCAATACGCTGCTGCTCTCATTGCAGATGACTATTTCATTAAATACAAACAACTTTCACCTGATTTTGATTGTACTCTTTACCTTTTTCATTTTCTTCCCCTTGAAAGAAAATTCTCTCGAATTACCTATACAATTAACAGTACTAGTGCCCTCTTAATTGTCCTACAGGGGAGTAGAAAAAACAAACGAGGTAGCAAAAGAACTAGGTTTCAGTCTTGCTTTGTCTCATGACAAAACAGGCTAGAAATTAACCTCCTGGGGCTCCTGTTTCCTCACAAGTAAAATTATTAAGTTACATTAGATTGACCAAAGCCCTTTCTCTAATAACCACTAAGAAAATCTCTGGCTTCAGGGCTCCCTTTGTACAGGAGGCAGAGTTATTCCACCTTCCCATGTAGTGTGTATTTTCCTTAATTCCTCCAAACATTTCAAGAACGATGTAATAAAAGTTATTTTGGAAACATGAGCCTTTCATAAAGGCAGAAAACAAAGATAGTGTTGACTTTCACTAACATTGAAATTAGGAGTAGTCATAAAGCCTAAGAAAAAGTAAAACATCTTAAAATAGGCTGTCTATGATGAAATAAATTTGAACAGTGACAACAACCCAGTAGATTCTTTTCAGTAGTTTGGAGACTGTTCATAATCACTTTTGAAAGCACACAAATCCAACTTTGTTTTTGGAGGTTCTGTTTCCTCATTTTGAAAGGAGGAAATTTTGATAGGAAGTCCTTGTTCATCATTTTGGTTAGTCAACAGCAATTGACTTAAAGTCAGAATTATAGACTCTTTTACAGTTACAAAGATGTAATCCTTGAAACTGATATAGAGTGTATGATACAGGACCTCCAAATAATGTAAGGGAAATATAACTCCCAACCTGCTAGATAATGGAAATGCTGAGTTCGTGTTCTCTAAAATCGAAGAATGAATTCTAGGAACAATAGAGGTTAAAAGTAGGGAATATCTTTTTGAGAGAAACAGCTCCTTCCTAAGAGGAACAGGAGGGGACATCCAGAAAGTGGGTAGCTCACCAACCCAGAGCTTCTTAAGGGTGTTTTGAGCAAAGCCACAAGGTGAGGTGGGTTCAAGGTGGGACAAAACTGTAGTCAACTAATAATCAAGTATAATCACATAGGTAGTACTGACCCAATGGGAAATCACAAGGTGGTATGAGGTGGGACAAAAATATAGTCCCTTAGGTAATATTGACCAAATGAGGAAGAAAGTCATGTAGCAGCAAGCATACTTTGAATGAATAAGGATTTAGGGGAAGGAATGGGCTAGGGAGGTTTTAGTCCCCACCCGAGGTGATTGATTTAGAATATCAGTCACTGTTGTGCATCCTTGGGGCAAGTGTGTGAGTGTAGTAGTTCCTTTTGAGTCCTGGTCTTCAGTAAATGGGCCTCCATTGTCCTCTGTATCAACTCCCTGGAGGGCCCAGCCTGTCTAATTGCCTATAATATATCCAACTAATTTAGCTGTCTACAATAAAACCACACAAACCACAAACGCCTAGTAGGGGCCCCAAGATATTTGATTGAATAGATATCTAATATTGATTTTTAATTGGTTTGTCAATTATATGTGGATGGATTTTGTCTTGCAAAACCTTTAAGTTATGATAAGGAAGTTACAAGCTCAAGAAATGCAGTAAGAGATAAGGAAAGAATCTGGAGAATAAATCACTTCACTTCTAGGTATTTGAGGAGTATTTTGTAGAAAAGGTTGTAACTGAAGATGTCTTTGAAAGATACATGTTTCATGAACTGGTTCGTTCTAGGTATAAAGGGGAGAAATGCTGGCACCTCTTCGGTCTGTGTAGACCACTTCTTCAACTTCAGGAGGAAAATGAAGCACTGGTTAATACCCTCCCTAACACTTCCCAACACCAGTAGACCACCAGGGTATTAGTTAACCTAATTACTCTCTTGCAGAAATGTATTTAAGAATGCATGAGGCTGTGGGTCAATGGCTAATTAATGACTGTCCATTTCCTTTCTCTCTGCTTCCTCCTCTGTGGCCATAGGATGCTCTGGCAAGCTGTGATGTGAATGGGAATGACTTGGACCCAATGCCTCGTTATGATGCAAGCAATGAGAACAAGTAAGGTTCAAATGAGGGGTGGCTGGCAAGAAGCTTGGTTTTCTGCTCAGGCTGAGTAAAGTATTTTCTTCAAAATCTTTGGTAACAAATGATCCTTAATTTACTGCAAAGTAAACAGATGTCTTTTCATTAAAGTTTCTGAGAAGACAAAAGGGTGGTCTATATAGTAAAAAAAGGTTGCATCCAGAGCTCTAGGGAATGGCTCAGTTTTCCCAGATCGTCAGTATGGAAGTGGGGGACATTACCTTCCCCAGGGAAATTGACCCATTTGTTTAGAGATAAAAATGCTAAAGGGGAAGCCAAAATAACTCTCCAAAAGAGTTACTTTATGCTGTTACATTGAACAGATTTTATTGATGCTTCATTTGAGGTCATGGCCAGGGACTTTCTTATTTTATTTCTCCTTTAGTCTCTCTATAAGTGATTGGGTTTTTCACTAATACATGAAACACGTAAGAATTATTGCCATTCATGGCAGGTATTACTTTTCTTCTCCCCCTTCACCAGTCAAGGGGCACAGTTTGACTTTGCAGTCAGTGGAGAAGTTTTTAGTGAATGCAAATGAAAATGCACATCTGTTGGATAATACAGAATATTTTAACATTTTTTAGTGAGTAAGTGGGATTGTTTTCTATTACTTACAATGACTCAGATTCTTAAAATGATTAGTAGCTATTTCTGATCAGTATATCGTATTAACTTTTTTTCCTGTTACTGCAAATGTGATTTAGATACTTTCATATGAATTTTTATTTAAACGTTTTAGGTTGGAATCACAGAACTTGCAAACACAGTACTTGGCCTATTTATTATGTGCAATTTACAGCCTGCTTTTTTTTTCTTTAAGGAAAAAATTCTCAGATAGGATTTTTATTAAGTTAATAAGTTTAAAATCATATGACCTACAAGATGTGACTGTACCTGTGTTTGTCTTTTCTCTAACCATCTACAAAGATGTATGTTGGTCTTTGTTAGTACTAACAACCAAGTATATATGTCAGATAAAATTCTGTGATGAAAGCTTTCATACACAAATTGATAGACGTTTCTAGAACTTCTGAACAAAAAGAGAAAGGGACTAAATTAAACTGTATCATTTTCTTTTAGACCTAGTCATTATTGTCTAGATTGTAAATTGTAATGTTTAGTGAATTTCACACAAAAGATTATAATTTTAGACCATGTGAGCTGATGTTTTCAGCTTAATTTACAAACTATCATGAAACAGTGAAGAAGAGACTTGACTCATTCTGTACTTAAAAAGGCATCACTGGTAATACCTGTGTGGGGGCAAAGGGAATTTGGGAAATCTCTGAACTTTTCTTTCAGTTGTTCTGTGAATCTAAACTTCTCTTAAAAAGTAGCCTTTAAAACAAAAATATCACTGTTAAATTTCAGGATTTGGTTTATTCTGCTATTATGCAACACATTCATTCTTAAAAATAATAGCACTCTGAAAAATCCTAACCACAGAGCAATAAGAAAACTGAAATGGAGTCTAACACTAAAAGATTTGTCAATGACACATACACATATACAAATGGGGATTTAATATAACAATAGCCCAATTATATATATATATAATATATATATATATATATTATATATATACACACACAAACTACAATAAAGTTGGTACTTTACCTTGAAAGAAAACCTAAAGTGTATTTATGGAAGGGTGTGTCCATGATACCTACTTCCATTCACAGGCCTGTCACCATATGTGCAAGAGAGAAAAGAGGTAAATATTAAAGCTATATATAAAATGCAAAATAGAGAGGCACAGGCACAGAGAAAGCAGGGAACATTACATAGAATGGAGGGCATTCCCAGGATGACCCTGTTGGAAAGGTGGCAGATCACCCATGGCTTTGAGGTGGAAGAAGGGTTATCTGTGAAAAAGTAGAAGTTGCCCCACAAGATGTGGCTAGATGTGGATCATTGTGGCCCCTGAGATGTGTGGTTTTGTGTGTTTTGTGTGCCGCTACATGGTTCGTTTCATCTTGGTGTGCTTTCTGCATTCATCTAGAGTTTCTAGGGAAAAATTGCTCAAAGTATTTTCTAATACATTGTATTGGAAGAAATTCATGCTTTTAAAACAAGTCTAATAGCAAAACTGACTATATTATAGCCATTCCTTAAATTTATCACATTAAAATTTGCAGAGAAAAGAGAAACATTTACACTATAGGGAACCCAAAGCATCCTTGTGCAGGATGTAGAGGAACAAGTGTGGCTATAGAAAGAAACCAAAGACCACTGTGTTAAGCTCTGTAGATACCTGGGCCATAAAACACGTTGTGGCTGCATCTCCATATGGTCCTTTTTGCATTGAAACTCGGTAGTGATGTGACTGTTCTCCAAGGGCGTGTCTGATCTGACTAACATTGCTAACCATGATGTCTATGTGTAAAGACAATTGAGTATTGGCTTTGATGGCTTTTTACAGACTGTCCTTTTAAAGCCTGTATTCTTTGTGAGTATTCCTTTTAAACCAGGCTCTTCCCCAAGAAAAATCTGGGTGGTCAAGTTGTTTTAGTGTATCCTGTGTTGATCCACTCTTAGCTATATCTCCTACAATGCCACAGGAGTGTGAATGTTGGAGGACACCAACATTCTTCTAGATGTGTACCTAGGTTTATTGACCTGATAGTGAAATAGAGGTTCAACACCAGAACTCTGGGCCTCTGTTTTATGGAAGTCAGCTGTCCCTTGGGGTATCAAATGTCACTTTAGTGCTTCTCAGTACTAATGCCTGATTGGTTTTCTTTTCCTGAGCAAGAGCATGTTTGCAGGCATTTATGGTTGAGGTACTTCTCCCCTCATGAGATCACACGGATAAATAGGAATGATAGATCTGACTTTAAGCGTGGGTCCTTAAATAGATAATTCTGTTTGCATAGTTGTCTCTTGGTGTTAGAAAACAAGAGTGAGTTTGTAGGTTAAAAGAGTTGACATTTAGCCTTGGCTCTCCTTGATCAGCTTTATGGTTTTTTGTGTCTAACTACTCTGAGCTTTTATATTCTTTTTAAAATATGTCTAAAAGGAATAATATTTTAAAGAATGAAATGCATAAAGCATATCAACCTGACTATATAATAGGTGAAAGATAATTATAGCTGCTATTGTAATTATGTGTTCTCTTCATATATCTAATTATTGATAATCAGTTGAAATTATAATTATCTCAAAATATGTGTACATATGAACATTCCTAGTCTAAACTAAGACTTGGAAATCTGTTTATTTCTAGAGCTAGAGGTTTAGATTCTCCTGCTTCTCTGAGCAGGAAGCTGTGGCTTATTCAGATCACTGTCTGAATTTTCCCCTCTCCCTTCTGTGAACTGAAATAATAGTGAAGGTGAGAATTTCTAATCATCATCAGAACACTGAGGGAAATGCTCTACAAATGCCTCCTCACTGCAGAACCCGATCTGTAGGCTTCAAAGCATATTTGGCCTTCTTTCTTACTTGGCTGTATTTGTTCATTCATTCAACAAATATCCATTGAGACTTTGCCTTCCACGTTGTTTTGTACTGAGTGCTTGGATAGAGTGAGGAAATGATACAGATTATTAGTGGGTTGGACTGAGAGATAACTTAGTTAGAAACTAATACTTAAAGGGTTTTCAGTACTAGTAGAGGCTGTACCCACAAAACTTCATGCAAAGAATTTCTTCTAGATTTTCGTGATAATATCTCTAACGCCAGAGCTTTGGAGTGAAGGAAATCCCTTCTGAACAAAAAAATGTTATAAAAATTCCTTTCTTGTCACTTTTGCACATCCCCAAATGATGGCTTGACTAAATAAATGACACTAAAGAAATAACATTGTAAGAGGAGACCATAAAAACCTCTCTTCCAATTCAGCTTTGCTTTCATTCATACTAGCTCTCATTGTTGTGGGTGTAAAATAGAAAAGGCCTCCCTACAAATGAAACAGTCTTCTGGCATTTCATACCACTACTCCTATTTCTGATAAATGAATTATTGATGTATGAGTTAGGTTGCTTCCTATTAAATGTTCTCCCTGCTTAAGTCATAGCAATATATTTGATGAGATGAGACCACTGGGTTTTATTTTGGATATGTGGTATGTAGCCCAAAATCTAATTCCTTTTCAAAATAAACCAACCCATAGGTGAAAGACTCATTTTCTACAAGGAATGGATTTTTCATTTTGTCTCTTATCTCCGTTTTCAAGGAAGATTTAACCAGGACAGTTGGAAATACATTTCTTCTGGTTCTTTAATCGTTCACACATCATTTCTGGTTTTAAGAATGTTGCCATGTTGCAGAAACCAACATGTGTATGGGCCTTCTCTTTCTTGTTTCTGCAAACAAATGTTGTTGGGAGATAGTATTCCAAAGCAGAGCTAATGAAAGCAGCCAGTATTTTGTACTTATATGGGAAATACACTATCTTAATACTAGGGAAAAAAAAAACACCCATCATAAGATCTGTGGCTCTAATAGGGAGAAGCATTATTTCTCCATAACCTAGGATTTATCAATGTCTTGTTTGTTTTTTCAATATTTTCAATTTTTTTCTTTTTTTTTTTTTTGCAAAATAACATCTCCCACAAACATGAAATATTAATTACTTGATCAGTGATTTGCAAAGAATTTATGTACCAGTGATGAAAAAGACACATTACTAGAAGCTTACAATGTAGAACACAGGCAATTAAAATTTACATATGACAGTTGTATCTTAAGTCTTGATAATTTACAAACAATAGAAATTGAATGTTAGGAAGTCCAAGATCAATAGCAGGAGCAAATTTAACATTTGGAGAGGGTGCCTTCTTCCTGGATGGCACCTTGTGCCTGTCCTCACATGGGAAAAGGGACAAACAGTCTCCCTCAGGCCTCTTCTGTAAAGACACTAATCCCATCCACAAGGGCTAACCCTTAAGACCTCCTCACTGCTCAAGGCCTCATCTCCTAACAGCATCTGGGGATTAGATTTCAAAAGATGCATTTTAGAGAGACACAAA